TCTGGCCACAGAATCCTGCTGCCTCAGTGGGATAAACACCCGCTTCCTGCCCTTAATCAGCTCCAGAGGGGCTGAGGGGATGACAGGGGGGGTAAAAAAAAAAAAAAAAAAAATCTCTGGAAAGAAAAACTCATTTCCTGCGACAGAAGAGAAAGATAAAGTCTGGGCTCATTAAAGCGAACTTTACTGGGGAGAGACGGGAAAGAGCCAAACACAATGTCCTTGAAATTTCCTCCATGTGGCTCTGTCCACGAAAACAGGATAAAGCCGCTTCCGCTGTCTCTGCCGGAGCGTGCCAGGCGGTGAGTGGGGCTGGGGGCTCGGCTACAGGCTGTCGAGGTGGGAGCAGACCTGCTGGAAAACCTCTTCCACAGAGCCCTCGGCGTTGAGCTGGGTGCAAAGGGGTTAGCTGGGGAGGGGGGGGGGTCACCCGGGGGAATGGCGTGACCGGAGCTCTTCCAGGGATGGATTTCAGCCATGGGCAGAGACATCAGGGACAATTTAGGGCAAAGGGGTGCAAGGCCATTCTTGGAAGGGGTCTCTGTGTCAGGAACCAGAGGGTCTGGCTGGCTCCAAGAAGTCAAGCCCACCCCAAACGAGCTAGGATTGAGTTTCTGCTCTGCTTCCTTCCTCATCATCTCCATCTATCACTTCCCCTCCCCTGGGACCATGTGCGCTGCATGCCGTGGGGCTGGAGGACGGCAGCATCAGTCACGTCCCCGCTTACCTGGCGGACAATGCCTCTGCTCTTGTAGAAGGCGATGACGGGCTCGGTGGCCTTGTAGTAGGTCTCCAAACGCTTCTTGATGGTCTCCTCATTGTCGTCCACCCGCCCGCTGGTCTCGCCTCGCTTCAGCAGGCGTTTCACCATCGTCTCCTTCCCCGCGTCCACGTAGAGCAGCAGCGTCGGGGGAGCGATCTGTGGGCAGGGAGGATGTGGTTGTCACCATGCCGAGGCAGCACAGGTCTAGTTTGGTTTAGGGAGACAGATGTCCCCACGCCATCCTCTGCCTCCCTCCACATGGGTCTGGGGGCCACCGGGCCACTGGATTGGCAGTGCAGCCCCCAGAGGAAGGCACAGGGACACCGTGTCCAAGCCCTGGGTCTCTGCCATCACCATCACACCAGCACTGCGGTCATCCTCTGTCAGCCTGAGGACACCCTGGAGACATCACCCCCCAACACACACCCTGGGTGCAGGCTGTCCCCAAGGCAGGGGGACCTGCTGGCTGGGACAATGCCCAGTTTAGATCCAGTGGGGATGAGATCTTCACCAGGATGGGGAGGCCAGGCTGCTGTCAGATGGAGGCCCTCTGCCTAGACGGTGGGTGGCACGGCACGGCACCAGCCCTCACCTTCTTCTCAAACTCCTCTCCCTGCTTCACCTCGCGGGGGTAGCCGTCGATGAGGAAGCCCTTGGACACGTCTGCTTTAGCCACCATGGCGTCCCGCAGCATGTCCAGCACCGTGTCCTGAGGAGGAGAGGACAGAACTGTCAGGGCTGACGTGGGACACTGTGCCCCCCACTCCAGCACCCCAATGCCTGCTGCAAAACCCCACTGGGGTGGCAGGAATGGAGGTGTCCACGGGCCATGTGGTAACCATCACCATGGTATTTGGTGTCCCCACAGCCACCCCTGCCTGCATGCCCCACCGTGGACTCACTAGGGGCACCAGCTCGCCCTTCTCCATGATGGTCTGGAGCTTCTTGCCCCGCTCCGAGCCCGAGCTGACCTCTGCCCGCAGCAGGTCTCCCGTGGAGAGGTGGGTGTAGCCATATTTCTGCACGATCTTCTCACACTGGGTCCCCTTCCCTGAGCCGGGGCCACCTGCAAGTCACATGAGGGCCACATGTGCCCCAAGCCACAGGTAAGGAGCTGAAGGGGTACATGGAAGCAGCAGCACAGACCCATAAGAGTCCCAGTGAGATGGTGGACAGCATCCCCAAGCCAAGCACCAGAAGGATGGAAAAAGCTGCTCCTGGGGTGGGCTGGGGGATGCCAGGTCCTTGGAGGTGGCATGGGTTGCTGGCAATTGGCACGCAGGCACCACCACTCTGATGGCACCCAGGAAACCACCACCACTCCATCAGCACCTGGACATCGCTGTCTCAACGGCACCCAGGGTATCATGACCCCATCAGCATCCAGGACATCACTGCCCAATAGCACCCAGGACATCACCACCCCACTGGCACTGAGGACATCACTGCTTGATGGCACCCAGGATGTTACCACCCCATCAAGCACCCAAGATATCACTGCCTTATGGCACTCAGGACATCATCACCTCAGACCCTGCCCTCCTGGTCCCAGCACAACCCACCATGGCCTCAAGGAGCTGGGCTGGAGCCATGGCCACCCCACAGCGCCTGGGGTCAGCAAAGGTCCCACAGCCTCAGCCTCCAGCCCTGGGCACCAGCTGCTCCCTGCAGCCCTCCCAGTCCTGGAGGAGCAGGGGGTGATGTTGTGCTGTGGCCTTGATCCTGTCAGCAGCAGGACCCGGACACCAACTTACCCACCACGAAGATGATTTTGTGGTGCTTGAGTTTTTCTGGGAAAAAGAAAGAAAATAAGTAATTACCAAAGTCAGAGAGCATGTTGGGGACCGAGGTCTCCCCAGGGGGGTAAGATCCAGGGCAGGTGTCCCCGGGGATGGAGGGAACCCATCCCAGGCCCCTGGAGGATAAAGGTAAAGTGGGAAGCAGCCACGTGTCCCCTTTGTCACCTGGGTGGATCGGGATGGCTGGGCTGGACACGGCTGAGCACAAAAACCCCATGGCACTGTGGCCGCAGGGCTGGAATCTCACTGCCACGGGGCATCCCGGAGACGGTCACTGTCCACAGCTCCGCCGCGGGCGTCGACACCCAGCCACATCCATCCCTGTGGCTGGCTTGTCACCCTGGCGGGCTAATGGAGGCTGTGGCAGGCTTGGCTTGGCATGGCCACCTCGGGTGCCTGGCATGACCCCCGGCAGTCCCTGAACCCCGGCATTGGTTCCCGGGCCTGGTGGCTGACGTGCAGGTGGCACCAACCGCCCCGTCCTCCACCGAGCACCCAGGCGCAGCGTCCCTCATCACCTGCAGGATCTGGCCCAGCCGGTGTGACACCCCGGGAGGAGGCAGAACTAAAAATAAAGCCAAGCTGCTCCAGGGCCGCTCTCCCGTCTCCTGATTACAGCCGGCTGAAATTTCAACTCCTCCGGCACTCGGCGATCCCCAGGGCTGGGGACAGAGCCAAGTGGCTGGCGGAGACCAAGGGGACGTGGGGCACGTGGGAGGCTGGAGGGACACGGGAGAGGGACAGAAGGGAGGGAGGCAAAGGGGAGACACAGGGGAGGGATGGAAGGGGGATGGAGGGGAAGGACGCAAAGGGGACTGAGGGGATGGATGCAAGGGACAAATGGGATGGATGCAAAGGGGACTAAGGGGACGTGTGTACAAGGGACAGATGCAGGGGTTAGAGGGGAAAAGATGCAAAGGGGATGGATACAAGGGGGACAGGGGGATGCAGAGGGGATGGATGCAGGGGGGATGGATGCAAAGGGGACCGAGGGGGACAAGGGGATGGACGCGAGGGGGACGGAGAGGACGGATGCAAAGCAGATGGATGCAGCGGAGACAGAGCACTCACCTGTCGACATGCTGCCTGGTCCAGGCACAGCGGCACTTCAGGCTGCAAGGGGAGAAGAGCAGGATGAACGACACGGAAACTCGCGTGTACATGATGTCCTAAGGCCAAGGTCTGGGGAGACACGGGGTCTCCCTTCCCTGCCATGCTGGCGCCCAGCTCCACGGCCAAGCC